CAATATATCATGTTTGGCCCTAAGGAACTGAAAAATCTCTGGGATACGTAACTGGGAACTAGTAATCCACTAGCAGCCTAACGAGTTTAATAGGACTTAAACTTAAGTCTCCAGCTGAGTGATGGGCAGATTCAAAACTACTTAACGTCAGATGGAAGCATTTTCAGATATAACTGTGGGTTACTCGAATTAACTACCGTAATTGGAGGTGGGGAGGAGAAATCTATTGCCAAAAGCTGCTCAGCATGCTGCTCACAGCACAAACTGATGCATGTTTAGTTGGAAGTCCCACGTTGTTTAAAGGGGTTTATTCCCAGGTAATTTAGAATGGAGTTGCAGTCTAAATCCATTAATGGTGGGGATAGGCACAAAGACCATTAACTTCCAACGGTGTTTGCATGCACCATTTTAGGTAACACTGCTATCTATAGCCAGTTTTGTTGTTGTTGTGTGCTACTGGAACCTTGCTATCTGAGGCCTCTGCCTCCAACAAAGCTAAAGCATTTTTTTCTAATATTGGGACTGGCATGCTTTACCCCTAGATCACCTAACGTTTTCCTGATGCAAAACATGAAGACTTCTTGAGAAATTCAGCATTCTCTACCTGCATAGGAGCCTGAGGCTTCACAAAGGAAGGAGATATGCTGGATTCCAAAGAAACAGCTTCTTTGGATTGTAAATGGACATTAAATTTCCTTGGCTTGTAAAATTTTCCAGTGACCGCATGGCCAAAGGGAGAGGTGCCAGCCTGCAGATAGCCCTCCCCTAACATCTGAACTGAGATCAGAAACAGAAAATGCAGGCCCAAGACTAACATCTTCCATTTTGTCCTCCTGTTTGCCTGAAGAAGCCAGTGTGACTTTGAAAGTTTGCAACATGTGCATTTTGGTTGGCCCAATAAAAGTATCGTTGTTTGGATGTTATTGGATTTACTATATGGCCAACATGGCTACCTCTAGATGTTTCCTGGCTTATGGTGACCCTAACATGGGGTTTTCTTGACAAGATTTGTTCAGGGGACAGTAAGGAAAACATAAACCATTCAGTATAACATACCACAAGAAAACAACTTTATTTTTTCATGCATCTCATTTACACCCTGCATTTTCTCCTGTGGGCTCAAGGTGGTGTACATGGTGCTCTTCCTCCCAATTTTGTCACAAACCCTAAGAGGTAAGGTCAGGCTGAGTGAAGGTCCCAAAATCTCTCCATCAGTTTCATGGCTCAGTGAGGACTTGAACCCAGACCTCCCAAATCCCATCCCAGTCCAAGAGTCTAACCAGGGGTAGGCAACCTTTCCCCTTTAAGGGCCGAGGGACTTCAGCTCCCAGAAGCCTCAGCCATGTTGGCCAATAGTCCCATGTTGGCCAATAGCTCCTGAGATTCTGGGAGCTGAAGTCCCTCAGCCTTAAAGGGGAAAGGTTGCCTACACCTAGTCTAACCCTTAGAGCACACTGGATCTTGACTTTTGTGTTCCATATTAATCCAAAATACTCTGCTGCTCTCTTTATTCTGTAGTCAGTCACTAGATAAGCTGCTTTATTAATGAAATAAATAAAGCCATCTATTTATCTGTCTAGATATATTGAATTCATTAACATGCATAATAGGATGGTGCATTGGACAGCACACCAAGCTGCTTTTTTGCCAGATTCTTCCTCCCCACCTCCAATTAGTTAATTCAATTGAGCAACCCACAGTTATATCTGAATGCATTGAACCAGCCAGAAATATTGTATCCCTTTACCACTCTTACCACACTGGCTGCATCCGCACTGCAGAAATAATCCAGTCTGAGGCCACTTTAACTGCCACGGCTCAATGGCATGGAATCCTGGGAACTGTAGTTTGTTGTGGCTCCGGATCTCTCTGAAAGAGGCGGCTACAATTTTCACACAAAACTACAGCTCCCAGAATTCCATAGCACTGAGCCATGGCAGTTAAAAGTGGAATATTTCTGCAGTGTGGGTGGACGCATGCTCAGAATGCGGGACCTTTCGGGATTCCTAATGAAATGGAGGGCGTGTCTTGGAAAATGGAGGACGCCAGGTCACCCACTGTGGGACGCCACCGCTCCCCAACCCTCTGGCCAGGCCTTGAAAAAGGAGGAAGAAGAAATCAGGATGGATTGGGGGCCCATTAATGGCTCCTCTCTTTCCCTTGGCGCCTGGGAGGCGAGGGCCTGGCGTGGGCGCGCTCCTGCCTCCAACCAAGGCGGGCTCCTTCAGCGGCAGCAGCACAAGGCCTCTCCTCCTCCTCCTCCTCCTCCTCCTCCTCCTCCTCGCGCGCCAGGGCCCTCGTGGGCGGCAGGATGTGCGTCATCACTGCGCGTGGGAGGCCGAGGCACCGGGAAGGGAAGGAGGGACGGAGCTCAGCAGGGAGACGCTCTAGCGCCGGCAGAACGGATCCCCTGGAGAGA